GGTCAGGAGTTCAGGACTAGCCTGGCCAACATGGTGAAACCCCGTCTCTACTAAAAATACAAAAATTAGCCTGGCATGGAGGTGGGCAACAAGCGCCCGTAATCCCAGCTACTTGGGAGCCTGAGGCAGGAGAATCACTTGAACCCAGGAGGCAGAGGTTGCAGTGAGCTGAGACCATGCCACTGCACTCCAGCCTGGGTAACAGGCTGTCTCAAAACAAAACAACAACAACAACAACAAAAAACCAGAATGCAACCATTTGTCTCTTATCTACCTGTGACCTGGAAGGCCCCTCCCCACTTCAAGTTGTCCTCGTTCCAGACCAAACCAATGTCCTCTGCATTAGTCCATTTTCACACTGCTATAAAGACAACATGCCCAAGACTGGGTCATTTAGAAATAAAAGGGGTTTCATTGACTCATGGTTCTGTAGGGCTGGGGAGACCTCAGGAAACTTACAAATCATGGTAGAAGGGGAAGTGGCATATGTCTTACATAGTGGCAGGCGAGAGACTGGTGAGCGAATGGGGAAGAGCCCTTGATAAAACTATCAGATCTCATGAGAACCTCCTCACTATCACAAGGACAGCAGGGTGGAACCCTGGCACCCAGTCACCTCCCACCAGGTCTTGACCTAAACATGTGGGGATATGGGAATTGCCATGCAAGATGAGATTTGGGTGGGGACACAAAGCCTAACCATATCAATGTCTTACATATATTGATTAACATCTCGTGCCTCCCTAAAATGTATAAAACTAAGCTGTGTGCTGAGCACCTTGGGCACAGGTCGCCAGGTCCTCCTGAGGCTGTGTCACAGATGTGTGCCCTTAACTTTGGAAAAAATAAACTTCCTAAATTGACTGAGACTTGTCTCAGCTATTCGGGGTTCATATCGAAGACCAGGGCAAATGCCTAGTCATGAGCATGGGTACATGGAAAGAGATGGGGACAGGCCACACATGAGCAAAGCCAGCTGGGGCCCCAAAAGCATCAGAAGGGGGTGAGGCCCCACCTCATGAGCAGACTCTGTACTCACTGGTCCAGGGGGGCTGTTGGAGGTGCAGGCAGTTGGTATTGGCAGCCAGGCCACAGGGGAATCGTGCACATCTGAACTGAACCCTCCTCAGGACAGACGTTTTTAAATTTCACTTAAACCACGACCTCTTCATTATATAGGTTATAAAATACGCTGTTGCCAGGTTGGTTGTGAAATGGCTTGCTTGTCAGCAGGCTGCTTGCTGTGTGTATTAATCAGAGTTCAATTACAGACCGTCTGGCGTTTGTGTGTGTCCCAGCTGGGCTGGTGTGTGCTGTGACAATTGTCCACACCTGGGGGTCTATCTACTGGATCCCCAAGGAGAAAGCTTCCTTCGTGGATGGCACGACCATTTCCACGCACACAACCCTGGCGGGGGGAGCTGGAGTTTGCCCAAGTCCCTCAGCAGTCACAGTGATAGGTGCTTCACATTTGTTTCTCATTTTAGCCTCACGACAACTCTGCTGTCAATTCTGATTCCAAGTCTCCCCAGAGGTCAAACAAGGCTGGGAAGCTGAGTGACCTGGCAGGGACCTGACCATTGCAGGGAGGGGGCTGTGGACGGAGCCAGAGGCTTCCAAAGAGATGGGAAAGCATCCAGTTTGCAGACCAGGAAGCAGCACATCTGGAACCGTGAGGTAGGGAGGAGCTTCGAGATCATCCAGGGGGACCTCCTACCTGCCAGGGTCTTCCACTCCTGTTCCCTCCCAAGCAGCTCTCTGCTCAAAGTCTGTGTGAGCAAGGGTCCCTGACAGCTTAACTGGGGTCGGGGGAAGGATGAGCTGCCCCTCCCATTTAATTTTAATTTTTTTTTTTTTTT